ATTTAAAATTCAAAAAAGTTCGTCAAATGGCATAATTTAGTTTGGCTAATAGTTTTATTTAGGAATTAGGAGTGAAGAAATTTTCACAAATGTATATATATTCGGTTTGTTTACCATTAAGAGACCAACTTAGGGTAGATATTTTAAAGTGGGCTGTTGTTCTTTCTTATTTGGGTCAGGTTTCGAATTTCCTTTTTCGACGCCTAATCAGTAATCATGATTAGACTTTCTTTTCTTCTTTTTTATTCTCTATTAGTACATTTATTTCTTACCTTAATTAATTAATTACAACAGATGAATTGATGCTAGTGAAGAAAAACACTTCCACTAACTCAGACTCTGAAGGATATTTTAATAATGAAATCATTATTGGCACCGGTACATTGTACATAGTACACTTCCACTAATTTACTAGTATGGTTTTTCAATCTTATCTTCCTCCTTTCAAGACCCTTTTAGATTCCCATTCGGACAACGTTCCTGTAATTTTATCATAACTATGATAATTGATAAACAAAACAAAAGTAGTTTTCATTTGTAAATCATAGAATCGTGACATGATTATGCCGGTTAAGTAGTATATTTTTACAATGCAAGATGTTTATGTTGATTATGTCACTTAGATAATGTTGAGAAGTAAAAAGTAGTAAAACTTTAAAATGTTGGAAACCTAAAGTTAACACCATCAAATCAAGTGACAAAATTCTTGTACTAAACCTATGCTTAAAGTATATAGATTTCGATAAACGAAGCTTTCTTAATCATTTTGTCGACTTGGTAAAATAAAGAGAGACCAGTACATACTGAATTACCGATACTAGTACATAGTACACTTGTGGAGCTGTGGTTATAACTGACCAAACTTCGTACTTAGCTTAATTGTTAATATAAAATATAAAGATATATCTTTCATCCAAAACAAAAATAACAAAGAAATCATTAGTTAAATAGTTATCATAATCTTTAAAAAACTTGTGAATATCATTAATGAAATCTAAAATGTAAAGACATTAATCTCTGGCTTTCGGATGCTTCGGTGCACATAATGCAGTGAGTCAGTAGCACAAGTACTCCCTTGGATTCTTTTGCATGTGATAAAATTTGTCTTCTCAGTATGAGTGGTGGTACACATAAATATAAAGAAGTACTACAATTAAGAAGAAAAAAAAAAGAACACAAATTGGAAAAAAATAAAGGATGATGATGAGAAAGAAGTTGGGGACGTACGATCTCGAGTTCCAAAACCTATGAAAACTCAAAAGCTATATTTTTTTTGTCAACTCTCAAAAGCTATGTTCACTGTTTTTTTTAGCAGTTTTTAGACTCAGAAGAGTTATCTACATCTCTTATCTCATTTGTCCACGTTTTATTTCCTCTTTCTTTTTCTTCTTTCACAAACATGTTGTACCACTTGTATCTTGGTGTGTCTCACTCTCTTTGTATATGTAATTTTGTAACGTTTGAGTTGAAATATTTTCATGGACTAAGCAAACTGTATCTCATAGAGCAGCCTGTGTCTGTACCGTGCCACTAGGCCACTATGTTCAATGGACCCAAAATCAAACTTACCCGATGAGTAGGAACAAAACCCATGAACGATCAAACTAAAAAAACTGATAGTGTGGGTCAAGTCTACTCAATTAGAATCTAACGGTCTAGCCCAATATTTGAGTCCATATATATATGGGCTCTATTTCCTCTAAAACAATCACAATTTTCACATAAATGACCAGCTTAAGATAGAAGACTACATTATTTTGGCTAATTTAAGAAACAATACCTTTAGTCGAGATCTAAACAGCTAATAAACGCTTTGAAAAGCAAACCTAACACATAAGTTCATTTAGACAGTTTTTTTTCTTCTTTACATTTAGGATTTTTTCAAGTTTTATTAGATTACTTTATAAGCATTTTCTTATAGAATTGAAATACAAAATTTTCCGACAAAATTAAATGATTATTGTTTAATGGACGTTGACCTGACACTAATGTCCCTAACCTCACCAAACTAGTACTCGAATATTCTAATTAAGTACTCATTAAATAAAAACTTAACAAAAAAACATGTACGTATTGTGTAGTGTACACATAAATATCTATCACCTAACATATTAATTGAAGTTTTCCTTAATACCACACACTTAAGACAAGAAGTTTTTTTCATAAAGAAATATTTCATCCATATCTTATGCACATTTTTAATTTATCCTTAATTATTAGTTAGAAGAATACAGATAGAAACAACTAAGTGCAACATTTTTTCTTCAACTTAATTTAGTAATGGTTTTACAAAGCACTATCCCGAGTTGAAACTGAAACATCAAAACAAAAAAGCACTCATACGAATGTGTGATACAGAAACGCTTTACATAAGCTGGATTCCATTTCATATATAGATATAAACTTTTGGCATTTGATAATAATATATATTTTTTTTAATAATTGATACTGGAGAAAGTAAGATATGAATAAATCGTATCAGAAAAGGAGAAGCGATGTTGTTTATATATATGTTTGATAAACCACTATTTTCGAAGATATAAAAGTATTAGCATAACCTTTTTTGGATTTGTATCATATATGTCCATTGATTATTCTTGTTTTTAGTGAATTGCTATCACTAAACTAAATCATATCAGTGGCAAGTTTCATGACGTGGTTCTGCTAGTCCCACAGATTCCACATGCAAATGTTTAACATCCCAACCAATGTGATTATTATGAAAATTAATAATACTAATGATAAATCAACCAATAATAAACTAAACATAATCCCATCTCTATTACCTTTCCTTATATAATATATGTCCAAAGATATTTTGTTGGAACTTCAATATATTGGCAAGTTGCGCATGTCAGAATGTGTTATACACCGAAGCACAATGACAGAAGAGATAACTGATCTATTTGTTTTCTTTAACCTCTAGATCATAGAGATCTGATCTAACTCTTCTTAAGTCTTTCTTTAATTTCTTTCTACCCTTAAGCCTTAGCCCCTTACTAATTTGTTGATTATTAATATAACTAATCTCATTCTTTTTTTTCTTGATTGTAATCGCAATTCAACTCTTGTTTCATTTGTGTTGAACTAACTGTTTTGTGTCCAATTTATTTTATTCTAACACTAGTCACATTTGTTCAGCAACCAGTTAATGATCTATTTTGATCTCACTATATTCAACACTAATTAACTATATTCCTCGTATTATATGTGTGTGTAAATGCATCTAGAATTCGTTTGGTCAATAACAGTCACTAATTAGATTCTATGGATCGTCTTGATTCCAAGAAGAAAGGATAAGAAAGCCACATGGAGAACGCTTCAACGGTCTACACATGTCGTCATAGCTTTACGAGTTATATGGACAGAACAAGAACCAATATCTTGCTTGGTAATCATATATTCATCATGTCTTGTCTCATTAAAAATAACTAAAAGGAACAACAAGATATACTTAAAAGCACATGTGGATGGATGTGTATACGAATCGATCAATAATCCCACCATATTCGACTTTATGGGTATATGCATGATATCTTCCTTTAAAGCTCGAAAAGTATAGTAATCCATCAAATCCCATTTCCGTTGTGAGGTAATTATAAATCCTACTTGCAATCGATGAACATGTGACAAGTCAATATAGTAATATTACCTTATTGCGTTTCAATTATTAATTCTTTATTGTTTTTTTTTAAATGATATAGTTAAATGTCAAAAGGTTCTTATAAAAACTATTCTATTTTTCTCAGTGCATGCAAATTATGCTGCTTTTAAATTTGGCAGTTAAAGATTTGAGTAAGAAAGTTGTAGAAACTAACAAGACTACAAGGGTAGGCCAATTTCTATATATTGAACAAAAACCTTAGCATAAACCACAACTTTGATGTTAAAAAAAAAAAACCACAACTTTATACTATCTGTAAAGCTATATAAATATTATAATATGGGTGGCAGACAATTTCATCAGATTTATCAAAATGAAGGTTTTAAGACTTCTATACGCACAAGATAAATATATGGCTGGAGAAAATTGCAACGTCGAGAGCCATACACACACAAACGAAAACCAAAAGAATACTACATAGTCTACATTGATGATTGATAGATCGGTGAAACTCGTTCTCATACGTGTTTCGTTGTTTTTTTTTTTTTTTTTTCATTTTTAACAAACCGGATCGGAACTGACGTTATTTCTCGAAAACGACAAATGGTGAAATTCTGAATCCAACGTAACTTAATTTGAATGTCGTAACTCGTAACAGTTATAGATGTTGGTTGGTTTGCATGTCTTCCGTAATAAAATCACATGTTTGATATACTACTAATCGGGTTCATGAAACAACCATCCCAATCACGCTGTCGCTACTTCCACTTTTGTGTTTTGCCGCCCAACTTTTTTTCCTTTTCTTCTTCTTTTCTACTCCACTATCTTTTATTTTAATTTCAACAAAACCAATTAATCAATACTTATCACTTTTTGTTTTAACATTTTAAAAATAAGAAAATCTTATCACTAATCATACACTCGTCACCACATTTGAGCTAAGTATATATATCGCTAATGTTATTATATGACAGATTTAACCAACTTGACTAAAAAATTTCTTCACAAGCTCTCTCTATTTTTATGGTTTTATTACGACAACTTATCTTATAAATTGTTATGAATCATTGATAGTTCTAAATTAGAACACAAACTTAAAAAGACTTTAATAAAGTTAAAACGTAGAAAAGGTTAAAAAGAACTTATGAGTTATAGTCTAACACACAACAATAATTCAATAGTCACATGAATCTTGTAGAGTTTATGGATCAATACGACACTTCAAATTGGACCACCGTTTAAACAAATGAAAAAAAAAAAAAAAGGAAAAGAAGATGATGATGTCCTAATCATTCCAGTTCCAAGGTAAGAGACGTGTAATAGGAAAAGAAAAAAAACATTTATGATAGAGATTAGAGAATCCGTAAAAAAATTGACTCTTGAACATTCTTAAAAAAGAGTCATAATTATCATTTATTGACGATGGAATGGAATCTTTTAAGACAACCGTTCTAAACCACACACACAACACTCTCTCATTCCTGACGCAACAAATTGGCCACGACACAAGAACACACAAACTACTTAAAACTTTTTTGTTTCACGATTCAACAAACGAAACCACATTAAGAATCAAGAACAAGAATCACGAATCGAATCTAGAGAATCCTTAACAATATAGTACACAGGAGAAATTATATAAAAAAAACACACAAGAATAATTCACATTCAAGCAGGTGTAGAAGTCCAGAAAATGTCCTTGAGAGCTGGTCTAAGAGCAGTACTGCAGAAGTTGTTGTACTCGAGAGTATCTCCATGATCTTTCTTCACTTCCACTACAACGAACGACGGAGCCACCGCGAATATCTCCGCTTCCACCGCCAGTTTCCCTTTCCGGCCATTCTGTTTCCCTTCGATCCTCACTCTGCTCTCACTCTTCCTCACGTCGAACTTATTCCCAACTCTCGCCGCTTCTTCCAAACTCGAAATCACGCTACTCGCTGGCCGAGAAGTCGCGAATCTCATCTCCCTCTTCTCTTCTTTCTTCTTCTCCTCAAACAAGGGAGACAAATCAAACCCTTCGGATAAGGCGATTATGTGAAACGCGTTAAGCGTCTCCGTCTCTTCCTTCGACTTGTGCACCAAGACATCACCATCCTCAGCTTCTCCCTCCGTGGCTGTGGAGGCAGCAAGAGCAACAACTGATTCGTTTCTTGATCTCGTCGCAGTCTTCTTGAACCAAGAAGAATCCATAACCTTGTCAATCGTAATCCTCGTACTCGGATTGGGATCAAGAAGCTTCGTCACAAGCCTTCTAGCATCAGAAGAAAGCCAACCAGGACATTTGAAATCTCCTCTGTAAATCTTCCTATACATATTCACAAGATTATCATCTTGAAAAGGCAAATAACCAGCAAGAAGCACGAAGAGTATGACACCACAAGACCACAGATCAGCCTTAGCTCCGTCGTATCCTTTCTTCAGTATAACCTCCGGAGCAACGTACGCCGGAGTTCCACAAGTAGTATGAAGAAGCCCGTCTTGCTTCAAATGCTCAGTAAAAGCAGAGAGACCAAAGTCAGTCACCTTGAGGTTACCTTCCTCATCTAACAACAGATTCTCCGGTTTCAGATCTCGGTGATAAACGCCACGGCTGTGGCAGAAATCAACGGCTGAGATCAATTGCTGGAAATAAACACGAGCGACGTCTTCTCGTAGTCTCCCTTTGGCTACCTTGGCGAACAACTCGCCGCCTCGTACGAGCTCCATGGCGAAATAGATCTTGGATTTGCTGGCCATGACTTCGTGAAGCTCGACGATGTTAGGGTGTTTCACCATCCTCATCACAGAGATCTCTCGTTTTATCTGATCCACCATCCCAACTTTCACCACTTTCTCTTTCCCAACGACCTTCATCGCCACGCTTTTCCCGGTCTGTACGTTACGAGCATGGTACACCTTCGCGAATGTTCCGTGACCTAGAAGACGACCTAGCTCGTAACGGCCGTGAAGCAGCCCCGTACTGTTACAGCCGCCGTCAGATCCATTCTCCACTGCTTTTGTTCCTCCCACCATGATTTTTTTTTTTTTTACAAACGATGATTTTGAAATATTTTTGAACGAAAAGAAAAAACAAAGGAATATAAAAAAAAGAAGGATTTAACGGATTTTGAGATTAATCAGGAGAGATTCGAGAGTTGTGAAAACAGGATCACCCGTCCTCGACGTGTTTCCGGTGGCAATTCCTGCCGCCGACAGATCGGTTAAACCGATCACACAGTCTAGTTTTCACCGGCGATACTCCGACCATCTCTCTGCATTCCCTTCTTAGGATTAGTTTCCTCCTTTCGGTTTTTACTCAATAGAGAGAATCAGAAGCAACTAAAAGAATAAAACAAACTCTCTAAAAAGATGATAAAACCTCAATTTTCTTCTCTTTTCCGGTCGGATTAGAGGTCAGAAAAGAGTAGTATTTATATAGATATCAACGACAATGAAATGACGTAAATACCCTTGTTAGGGAGTGATAACTACTCCGTTTAACCTCCTTTCACTGACTGACAGGTGTCAATGTAATCCCCCTGCGGCGGTTTCGAGTTTGTCCAATTATTGAGATAGCGATAACGACACGTGTCCTTAAATGACCGGTTGCGAGTCTGACTATTGTAATAAGTCTCTCTCTTTGGTAATAGAGGATAGGGAATTCGTGGTTTGAGTATTAACTCTATAGTTTGACTGCCTACTTAATACTTATCACCTCATTAAGGGGAAACAAATAGCATAAACAGTATTCAATGTATAAAAATCTCTGTATCTACTACAAATATGACAATAAAATATTGGACCTGATCCTTTCACGTAGTTTCCTTCAAACATTTTTGTTTTTGTTTTAAACGTTTGTTTGGCTATTTATCATTTCTTGTTGTGGACCATTATGTGTTGATTCTAGGGTTTTCTATTTCATTTATTTTGTTCTTTTGTACACGAATTAGATAGATAGTCTCTAGCTACTGCCTATAGATAAAAAATGTTAAGTTCTTTCTAATCAGTAATTAGTTTATAGCAACAACAAAAAAACACACATGGATGGATATGTTATCATGAGGTCCGTAAGCAAGTAAAGGCTGGTTTGATGAGAGATTATATGTCATTTACTAAAACCAATTAGCTTAGCCGTTAATGACTTTACCAAAGACTCTTCTTTCTCAATTCATTCCATTTTTTTTTCAAAATGGATGTTCGTGATGTCTACTCTTCCAAGTTCCGACCCTTTTGACAAATGTCGGAAGACACGTGTGCGTATGATTTGTACAGTTACATAAAACGTACGAAAGTCTGTAGACAAAACACAATACGTATATTTATTTATATGTCTACATAGAAATTATTTATACACAAACAGAAAAATACGTATATAAGCCGTGCTCCACTTAACTTATACTATATTACTTACTATCTCATTTTAATAGAGTTTTCTTTTATCACATTTTATTTATACTTTTGCTAATTCATATCATTTTCACGTTTATTATGCTTTCAGAAGGTTTCTAAATTCTAATTGTGAGATAATAATTAAAAAAAGAATGGATTCTTTGTTTACATTTACAAGCATTACACAAACTGTAAGCTGTCAACCATACAAAATTGAGACACGATCTAAAATATTATAAATGAGAAACTGAGACCAAGAACACAGTTTTCTCTTTTTCCAAAATAAAATAAAATAAAAGAATACAAATTTTCTGAAACAAAACAGTTTTTAGGAAAAGAAAGAAAAGAAACATGCATTCAATGACACAAAACAGAGCAACACGATGTTCATTCCTCCTCAGCCACCAGAAACGTTTGGGCGGCTCTCAGCGTCAGTGATCCCCTACCTTTAATCTTCATGCATGTGGACCTTCTCTCACTCATCTCTCCTTTAATTTATATCCTTGTAATCAATTAATTCGGATATAATTTCTTTTAAATAACTTCTTTTACAAAAAAAATACTATATAGCTACGTAATGTAATTCAGTTTAGAAATACCTAAAGAGCATTTGCCTTTCTGTGTTATTTACCAGATAATTGGTAAGTACTATATTATATATCGAAATAATTATATGTGCTTCTTTCTCTCACAATTTCAAATATGATTCTAATTCTGATATTTTAACGGGAAATAGTTTTCCTCTATATAGATTTACTTACTATTATCAAAACCGATGCGGACAATTCTTTGAAACGGTCTAGATGCATACGGTTGCACTGACTACATTCGCTTGATTAATCTGTTCTCTCTATTCAATATTTATGCGATTTTAACATTTTGATTCTAACCGCATTAATTAAATATTCACCAAAACAATGTGCGACTGAAACGATGTACTAACTTGTGCACATATTCGCATGCATTCACGAGACACATATGACTTATATATACTGCCTTCTCTGTTGCTTCTGCTTTAATAATTCATCTGAGATATGCATACACTTGCACAAACACACGCAAAGAGAGAGGACTAGCTACATTAAAATAATGCTATTATTGCATGGGGGAATCAACTATATTTATTTTGATATTCTTAGAATAAGTTGATGTTGTTGTTATATGGACAATAGCGCTTTCAATGATGTCATGTTAATGGTTTGTTTTGATATTTTCCTTATGCATTATTAGTTCATATATAGTCGTCGAATGCTAAATGTTAACATATACAAATATACATATATGACTATGACGACATCTTCATACATTACTGTATAAACAAACGTACACAAAATTTGAGCCGTATATATTAAATCAAATCATAATTTGGGGTCCAACAAAAAATTTCCTAGACCGATTTGATGTAAACACAAAAATCAAACACCGACTTTTTTTTTGCCACTAAGTTAATCTTCATTGTTCAAAAATACAGCAAATATGCCCTAAAAACAAATAATCATAACCTTGAAATATATTATTGGTATGAATTGGTCTAATTAATTAACATCACTTGATTAGTTTTTAGCTGAAATAGCTAGCACCGTCGGCGTCGACGCGAAGTCCTAATTGTCTCCTAGACAATAATGAGTGTTACTGAAAATTGTATTTAAAGGTTAAACTAAAATAGTCAATAAACATGCATTGTGCTTTTGTTGGACTTGTTTAGACTTAAAGATTCTGTATGATCGAACGAGTATAATTGAGTTTTCTGATACCAAGCCCTCGTGAAGGACATCACAGAACGAAATGAAACGGTCGAGAGAGCATATAGGAGATTCTAGTCATTATTTTGCTATGCAACTATATGTCTAGCTGTTGAATTATATTAATGTAAATAGATGCAGCTAGGTAGATAAAACAGACCTAAAGAATCCTGATATTTCTTGAAATAATCGCATGTTCTCGTAGTAGATTAACCGACGACAAAAAAGAAAGAAAAGGAGAAGCAAAAACCAAAGCAATCACAAAGAAACAAAGAAGGGTAGGGATTTTCTGGTTCAGGTTATATTATATGATGACGTAAGCAAACGCCCCATGGCATAGAGACTAGAGTATATTCTCTCTTACATTTTGGTAGGCGGTGTCTTGTCTTATTGTACTCCCCTCGCCAATAAGTAATTAGTACTTCTTAACCAATATTCGAGTATGATAATACAATTATTATCATCCCAAATTATGATCATTAAGACACATTTGATTTGGGCGCTAATCCAACATATAATTATTAGTATTATTTTCTGGTCGTATATATGTAGCTGCTAGTCTGTATCGAGATGATTTAAATGTCGATCGTATTCTCATATGGGGAATTAGCGATTTAACTAACATATATGACGCCAAAGACACTAAAATGAAATGAGAAATTTCCTCGAATATTACTAAATCTTTTATTTAGCACATATTATATCTAAATTAACAAGCAAAAAAAAGCACACGATATTATCATGTTATTTATCTTCGATAACATAAGTTTATGAAAATTTCTGTCAATATTCCGGTCTGGCTGCTGCTTACAGTTACAAGTTGCCTCCCAGACTATTAGTTCATATAGATTGATCAAAACATGTCTGCATGTGTACGGTTTTATATGTTAAATTTGTTGCACCATGCATGAGTATTTAAAATGGATCAGATTATGCTTTCCTTGGAATCGATATCATGTATGCTTTGTTATATCACTTATTTATTTGTTTTTAGTTCTACTATGTATTAGTTCTAATTAATGTTTTTTGTTTATGTATAATTAATTATATATCCTTTACATCATATTGTTAGGATTTGACTGTATTGCAGCCAGTAATTAACTTTATTATAATCAATCCCTTTATATAGAAACGATATAAGACAGAAAAATAGTGTTTACAGACAAAAAAAAAAAAAAGGCAGAAAATAGTAAAATTCCAACTTGGTCATGAATTGAAATGTCGTACCATTTTATAGCTAGCTGTACATGGCCAAAAGACAAACTATACGAGTATGACGACATGCAAAATGATCAAGTAGGACCAAAGTTCATGGCTTCATTGGCTTGATTCCTATCATTTTAAAAAGAGAAGATGTAAGTTTATTATACCCCGACCATGCCAAGATTGCCATATCAAGTTTCAGGTTAATTAGTCTCCGAAGAACTGAATTATCAAACTTTTACCTACACAAAATTGCCGACAAACAAATAGTTACCCAACTATTATTTAAAGCAATTCTTTTTGTTTTCCAAATGCAAGCAAATAGAATGTAGTGATGAGATAACATTTCGAATGACCTTTCGAATCATTTAATTAATTCAGTACTTAGCCATTCAACGTCATTATATATATAAAAACCCCGGCCCGTCTCTCTCAAAAAACATCCACCCACCAATTTCATCGGATGATGCACGTGAGACCCACGGGTAAGGTTACTGTGGACAATTACATTTTTGTTTTCTGTCAACGACCGCAGACAATTACATTACGGATAGTTTTAAAATGATAAACACTTGATTTATTATCTAGGCCAGGGAAAATTATATTTAGTGTTCAATATTCCTAATACCATATATTACATTTTGCTGATTCTGTTGTGTTATAAGATTGGAATCTAAAATTATGAGTTAATTAGTAGTATTATTGTAATGAATCATTGAATTGTATATTACATGCAATGTATTGTAAGGAATCAGAATCCTTTGTTCGTGGAGAGCCAGCAAAATGTAAACACGTGTGCCATATAATGCACGACGCCAAGGCCAAAATCAAGAACATGTAGGTAGCTAGTAGTACTCTGCATGCAGGCAAGGCATTACATTGAAATATGAATTCTCAAAAATATTCTCAAGACGAACAAAGACGTTTCGGCTGTCGACAAACTCGTAGAAATTCAATACTAGTTTATATGTTTAGTACAGGCCGGAAAGACAATTATCAAAAGCTCTCGTCCAATGAAAGGGAGACAATAATTAACGTTTGATTATTATTTTTCTGTCCAATGAT